GCGGTTCATATGGCTTCTTGTCAGCAGCTCTGACACGAATCCTAAATAGAAGCAGACAACAGCCCAGGGAGAGATGCTGTGAGTCTCTGGGCTCTTTTTTCTGCTCTTCCTGATAAGCAAGAAGTCGCTTTGCAGTCTGTAATCAGGGCTGAAATAAGAAAGAATGGGGAACTCAACATATCTGAGAAACGCTGCTGGTCCCTCTGTTACGTGATGAGAGAACAGACGTGAATGAGACGGCCCTGGGGGAGGCATCAGTGATCAGAAGCGGGTTCTGGGCCAGAGGACCCTGCCCTACTCCACAGCCCCAAACCACCTCCTTTAAATTGGTCTTTCTTACTTTCCTCATCTCACTTGCCTCTGCCTTTCGTCACTATTGAGAGTTGGTTGTCTGCCCACAATATTCTATTTTCCTCCTAGAAAATGCTATAGTTTAGGGAGGCCCAAGTAGCAGATATTTCTTTGGTTCACAGTCCTTGTATGTTTGTAAAGAGCAGTCCTATGGCCCCATAGCCACACTTTAAATTTGTGTGGCTCCCAGCATGGTGTTTTGTATATATTAAACACTTCAATATTTTTAATAAATAAGGGAAGAAATTGCTAGATGCCTAATCTCTGGGAATGATGTAGCGTGTTCATTTTGATCATTTTATTTTTAAATTATACAATATTTTGAACAGATGGAAAAGCACAGAAAATTAAGTAATTAACACTACGGATCCAACATTGAGATTCAACAAATGTAAAACCCTCGCCACATTGCTTCAGATGTGCAAAAAGAAATTAAATCTTACAGACACAGCATTTAGGATAAAGGGAAAGATGGAGACATTTGGTACTCTCTCCTTTTTAGGAAAAATTGATCGTTTAATAAAACTCTATATGTCAAGAATGAACTTAAAATGCTAGAAATGGTGTAGTGAATATGAGGCTTTTTTTTTTTTTTTCTTTCTGCTTTCCAGAAGCAGCAACTGGGTAGAAAATTTGGGTCCCAGAGAGGAACTTTACCAGTAGTTGGTAACAGGAGCTCCAGAATCCTGGTTCTTTCCCAGATCTTTTTTCCCACTGTTTGCTCAAAAACGGGTTCCAGCTCCACCGTGGTCTGTCGTCCCGCTGGGGCTGAGCTGCCTCTTCTCCAGGAGTGCTCACCCTGCACAGCCCACCGCTACGATGCCGAGAACCTGCGGACGCCCCTCCAGAACCTTCCCGGCCTCTGCATTCCACTCTAACTGCCGCTCCGCAGTCTCCCTGCTCACCAATGACCGCCGCCTCCAGGAATCCCATGAAAAGGATGGCGCGCGCTTCTAACAGCTCCTCAACCTTCCCGACAAGGACCACTGCTTCCCTAACGTCCTGAGGAGTGACCATCTCAACCGCAACCTGGGGGTGGTGGTCGAGGACCCTCGGGGCTGCCTGTGGCCAGCGGGCTGAGGAACCCAGTCTCCATGGTCCACGCTGGGGACAGCACCCGTCACCTCTTCGTGGCCGAGCAGGTGGGGGTCTATCTGCCTGATGGGAGTCGCCTGGAGCAACCCTTCCTGGACCTCAAGAGCATCGTGCTGACCACTCCCTGGATGGGGCATGAGAGAGGCTTCCTGGGGTTGGCTTTTCATCCCCAATTCCACCGCAACTGCAAGTTCTATATTATTCGTGTCTGGGCAAGAAGAGGGTCGAAAAGATCCGGATTAGAGAGATAAAGCTTTCTCGGGCAGATCCCAACAAAGCTGATCCCAAATTGGAGAGGTGAGGCATACCCACGAGAATCTGCAGCTGTGTACTGTGTTTCAATATATTGCCAATCAGTCCTGTGAAGTGATATAGGGGAGCTTTCCTGGGTTTAGAGCTACTTGCTTATAATGATGATAAAGGAGTCATTGTTGATTATTGAGGTTAACGCAAGTTAGCTTCTTGAGTCCGTGGCTTCTGCATGGCTACAGCCACCCACCTTACAGTTATACCTAGAACCATGCTGTCTTGAGTTTACAGAGGGTAGGCAAAGGCCGGCAGCCGTAAGGGTTTGAGAAATGATCTTAGATAATATCAGTATATTAAATATAATAGCAGCCTCTGATTATTGCATAACCATTAGATCCCAGACCCTTTACCATGAACATGGGAATTCTCATCCTTGCAGGAAGCTGTGATGCAAGGCCGTTAAGTTACTGATGCCTGGTCAGATGAAGGGCTCAGTTCTAACTGACCCCACGCTCCTGCTCTTTCACTCAACCATGTCGCCTTTTTTCCTTCTCCTTCCTGCCTTGTCTCTCTCTGCCCATATAGACAGGTTAGGGGATTGAAAAGAGCATGAAGAGGTGATAGACTGACCCCTGTGTGGTTGCCCGAAGGAAAGGACTGAGAGTTCTTGTAGAGCAGAGAGTAAGGCTGAGCCCCAGAAAAGGGTGACTGTTACCCAGCTGTGTCTACAGCTCATGAATTCAGGATATGAAAGAAAAATGATCCATGAGGGAGTCATACTAGGAAACAAGGGGTGTCCCAGAGCCCCTGAGCTACCTACTTTGTGATCCTTGGGAACTCTGAAGCAGGTCTTGGCTGGCTTGGACCAGTCATTTCTGGATGTCTCAAGAGGATGCTGTTTCAGTTTGTATCAAAGCATGGTTTCTTTTTCCTTCCAGAGTCATTTTGGAGATAGAACCAGCCTCAAATCATAATGGTGGACAACTTTTTGGCCTGGATGGCTATATGTACATATTCACTGGGGATGGAGAACAGGCTGGGGATCCCTTCAGAAAGTCTGGAAATGCTCAGAACAAGTAAGCTGGATGGAGGCTGGGTCCCTGTCCCTGAAATTTAGGATGAGCCCTGGTGTAACGTTTTTGCTGAGATGGAATCTGCAGAGGGTCAAACCCAGATCACTTACTATAAGATGTAACCCCCTCTGTTGATGCAATGGGAAAAGTATCTGGTTTTCTGTCCTATACATTTCAGGCATAATGTAATTTGGTAATTAATATTATGGAGGCTCAATGTAACTCTCAGAGAGCCATGTAGAGATGAATTCAGAATTTTTTTAAAAAATATATATTAGCGGGACATTATTTACTATGCCAAGATCTGACCGTCCAGTTCAATTCAACTCAACAATATTATTGATCACTGTGTTCCAGGAACTGTGTCTCATGTGGAGACACATGAGAAGTTAGTTAATAAGAGCTAAAATATATTGGATGCTCACTGTGTGTCCAGTGCTGCTCTAAAAGCCTTAGGTATATTTGAACATGTAATTCTGACAACCACAAGGGCAAAAAGTTTAATATGTTTTCTTAATTGACGTATCCCCGGCACCTAGAATAGTGCCTGGCACCAGGGTCATGCCATCAATACATTTGGAATGAATGGATTCTATGAAGTGTAGGTATTATGATAGCCATTTTATAGACAAGAAAATAGAGGCAGAGAGGAGTAAAGTAGTTTGTCCAAGGTCACACAGGGAGTCAGTGGCAGAACCAGAATTCAAACTCAGACGATCTGGCACAGGAGCCCAACGAGGCTGTGCTAGCTAGATAAACGACACCTGATCCTTTTGCCCTTTGCACCCAGCAAGCATGTGGCTCTCATTATCCCTGGTAATAAAAATATTAGGGTTGGTCATACAATAATAAAGAGCTAACATATGTCGAATGCCGACTGTATGTCAGGAATTGCATGACATGCTATATACACAATAACTCATTTAACCCTTACGTCACAACCATGTTGCAAGGTAGTTACCCTCCCCTGCCTTACAAGGGAGGAAACAGAGGCTCAGAACCACAGTCATTGGTAGAGCTTCTTAAAAGCCTCTGTTCTTTCCACTGACGACATTGTTATATGAGGAAGAATAGAACCAGCTCCTTTAAAAAGTTCGTAGTATTAGACCAAACCTGAGAGAAACCATCCCATTATAAAAATAGAAAAATTGAAGCTGCAACTTGCTCCGTGTCACATGGACCAGGACTGCATCAAACTTTTGCCTAGTAGTTTTCTTTGAGTCAAAAATCGGCAAGTCTTGGGCTTCCCTGGTGACGCAGTGGTTGAGAGTCCGCCTGCCAATGCAGCGGACACGGGTTTGTGCCCCGGTCCGGGAAGATCCCACATGCCACAGAGCGGCTGGGCCCGTGAGCCATGGCCGCTGAGCCTGCGCGTCCGGAGCCTGTTGCTCCGCAACGGGAGAGGCCACAACAGTGAGAGGCCCGCGTACCGCAAAAAAAAAAAAAAAATCGGGATGTCTTAACACTATATATTGCATATATAGAGCGAGTACGTGTGTGTATATTACCTCCCCATGTGATTCTTGGTTGTCACTTGCGATCAACTATCAGTAGGCTCTCTTGGGCGGTCTCCTCTAGTTCTGTGACATTTTATTTTATTTAGAATACGTAACATGAGATCCACCCTCTTAAAAATTTTAAGTGTGCAATACAATATTGTTAATTGTAGGGCAAGT